AAAACTATACGAAAGGACAGCTGATCTCTAAACAGAATAGGAATGAGTGAACCATTGCAAAGATGAAATGCTAACAGAAAGATCCAGCACTGCAAAATCCCTGCCTAGCAGCCTGCAGCCCGGATCAATGCTCCTTATCCAGTGGATTACAGTTGTGACAAAATTCCAATAGAACAAAGCAACTGAAGTTCCTGGAGTTCATAATGGGCTCTGAAGTACTGTAAAGGAATTGAGAATATAATCTACTCTAGCATAGAAAAGATAGGATGCCTATAATCCTAGGACTTGGGAGGCTGAGGCAGCAGGATCACTGCAAGTTTGAGGCCAGCCTGGGCTAAACAGGGAGACCCTGTCTCCAAAAAAAAAACAAAAAAGTGCCAGTAGCTTAGGGATATAGCTCAGTGGTACAGCACGCACAAGTACTGCAAAGACAAGAAAATGAAGAATTCCAGTTCTCCGTGAGGAGGTGCTCCAAGAGTGACCGTGGCCTCGCTGCTCTGGGAAGGGCCCCGGAAGATGGATGCCCAGCCCGGCCACCTTGTCATTCGGACCTGTGTGGGTTCCATGTTAAAACTGACCAACCAGCTTCCCCAGATCCCACCTGCCAGAGCCAGGCAGGGGTGCTAACCGTCCTGTCATGGCGGAGGACAGGGGCCAATGGATGCTAAGTGCGGCGCTTCCTGAGCTGAAAACCAGCTTCTATCAAGTACCTCACAGGCTATCGAGGAAGAGAGCCCTGGAAACAAACCACTGATAATGAAGAGCTCGCTGGTCAGTTACTCGGGCATTGTCAGATGAGGACTATGTCCATTTTACACACAGGGAAATGGGCACCCAGGCGGTCCAGCTCCAGAGCCCACACCCTTGGCCCCGCAGCACAGAGCTGAGGGATGCTGCTGGCGCTGAGACCCCCAGAAGTGTGGGGATGCGCTAGAGGCCCAAGGGAAACAGAGGCAGATGAGGTCCTGGCCAGACAGCTGCAGCATGGGACGCCCGCTGGGAGGCTGTGGAGATGGGCCTGAACTTCATCCTGGAGGCCACTCAGCGCTGTGAGAAGTGCATAAAAGATGCTCACACAGGACCGGGGATTTAGCTCAGTGGTTCTGCCGCTTGCCTTGCAAGTGCAAGGACTTGAGTTCGATCCCCGGTACCAAAAAAAAAAAAGATACTCACACAGTAAGCGGGGCTGAAGGCTTGGGTGGGTCAGCCAGAGGAACTGAGGCAAACAGCTGAATGCAGGCAAGGGGCTCCTTGGTCAGACTCTACCTAGGGCCAGTTGGGTACAGCTCTTCCAAGGCTTCCTAAGTGGGTTCAGCACTGGGTGGGCTCTCAGGATCCCAGTTCTGAATCAAGTAGGAGCCCAAACGTCACCAGGAAGCTCTGCCTGAACACAGGCCAGGGACCAGTTTCAGACTCCAGGGCTCAGTTCCCCCTCTGTAACCTGACTGGGTTTAACTGGATTGTACTTTACATATTCCTGTTCTGACCTCCCGTGAATTCTTTTTACGTTATATTCTCACCGCTCTAGGACACCTTGGGGCTATCTCTGGACACTCCTAAAGGTACTGAGTTGTTCCTTTTTTTTTTTTTTTTTTTTTTGGTACTGGGGTATTGAACTCCGGTGCTTGCGCTTGCAAGGCAGGCCACTGAACTGCTGAGCTAAATCCCCAGCTCTCCGAGTTGTTCTTCTTTGAGACTTGCAGACTTGCTGATGGAAGCCTAAACTGAAACAATCTGCAGGGTCCCTTTTGTACCATGATGGTTAATTCTGTGTCAGTCTGGCTGGACTTACTCAAATGTTGATCAGTGCTGGTCAAGGTGGTGTACACCAGTATCCCACTACTCTAGGAAGCTGAGGGAGGAGGATAACAAGACTAAGCCCAGGCCGGGCAATTTACCAACTTAGAGAGACCCTGTCTCAAATGAAAAAATAAAAAAGAGGGCCAGGATCTAGCTCAGTGGTTCCATTACCTGCCTTGCAAGTGCAAGGACCTGAGTTTGATCCCCAGTACCATTAAATAAATAAACAAACAAATAAATAAAATAAAAAAGGATTAAGGATGTAGCTCAGTGCAAAGACCCTGAGTTCAATTCCCAGAAATGGGAGGAAAAGGAGATAGTTGGTCAAACATTATTCTAGATGTTTCTAAAGGTGCTTTTCAGATGAGATTAATATTTAAGTTGGTGGACTTCCGAATAAGGCAGGCTCCCCTTTACAATGTGGGTAGATCTTACCTAATCAGTTAAAGGCCTTATTACAAAAAGCCTGACCTTAGCCATGCCTAGTGGCAAAACACTTGTAATTCCAGCTACTTGGGAGGCCAATTTTGAGGCCAGCCTGAGCAATTCAGCAAGACCCTATCTCAAAATACAAAATATAAAGAGCTGGGGATGTAACTCACACTCTTGGGTTCAATCACCAGAACTGGAGAAAAGAACTCTCCACACACACGTACACGTACACATCCACGTTCTACTGATTCTGGCATTATTAACGCTGGCACATTTAGCAAAACTACACGTCTGGTCACGACCCATCAACACATCAAAATAACCTTGGCCATAAAAAGAGATCCAGACTCTATCACTGATACGAAAAGATCTCCAACCTAAATAAGATCAGTGTGCATGCTGTGTAGTCACTTGTGTAGTAAGATAAATGGTGAAAAATAAAAACTCCAGCCAGGCATGGTGGAACACATGTGTAACCTCAGATCCCAAGAGGCTGAGGCAAGAGGATCCCTGGACTACATGGTGAGACCCTGCCTCAAAAAATAAAGAAATAAAGGGCCAGGGGTTTAGCTCAGTGGTTCCGCCACTTGCCTCGCAAGTACAAAGTCCGGAGTTCAATCCCCAGATCCAAATGAAAAAAAAAATGATAATGAATGATATATTTAAAGAAATAAATAAAAATCCCTTTGTTTACATGGAAGCCTTTGGAAGGGTACCTAAGCAGCTAGTAACAGTTCTGACAGAGGAGGGCAGCAGGGGAACTAAGTAAATGGGAGATGGTTGCTTAATTCTCTTTTATACCTTCCTTCCCTTCTCTCTTTCTCTCTCTCTCTCTCTTTTGGATTTCTGAACTCACTATGTAGCCCAGGCTGGTCTCGAACTCACAGCGATCCTCCTGCCTCAGCCTCCGAGTGCTGGTATCACAGGCCTGCGCCACCACACTTGGCTTATACTTTTTAAAGCAGTATTTGAGATTAAATCTGGGGCCTTTGTGCTGACATCCCCAGCTCTTTTTATTTTTTATTTTGAGACAGGGTCTCAATAAGCTGCCCCTCAAATTTGTAAGCCTCCCGCTTTGGCTTCCCTGTAACCCCAGCTGGGATTACACAGGTGTGCATCTTCTCACCTGGTTGACCTGGAGTTTTTGCCCCCTTTTGGTGCTGAGGATTGAACCCAGGACCTTGTGTGTGCTGGGTGGGTAGGTGCTCTTCCCAGCTTTTTTTATACTCTGATAAATGCACTTACTCTATGACCCCGCAATAACATATCCATCGATATTCACCTTATTTACTTCTATGTGTGGTTCGGATGCCTGCCTTGCAAGCACAAGGATCCAAGTTCAATCCCTGGTACAAAAACAAAACAAAACAAAAAAAAAAACACTTCTATGTGTGCAAAATGACATACACTGTTCAAGATTCTGTTGTAGTAGTGCTTATAAGAGAAAAAGAATGGAAATAAATCAAACACCCACCAGCAGGAAACTGGTTAAATAAATCATCCATTTGAAGATACAGGTATGTTTGTTACAGAGAATGAGGCAACTCTCTATGATCCCATCTGCAACGATCTCCAAGGGAAAAAATGGGATGTAGGATGGTGTATATAGCGTCCTTCAATTTGTGGGGGAAGAAAAAATCAAACTATATGCACATAGATCAGCAAATGCAGGAAGTATCTCTACGATATAGAATAAACTACTAACCATGGCTGCCTCTGAGAAAGAGAAAGAGGTAACTAGGGAACAGGCATGGCAAAGGAAGCAACTGTACCCTGGACCTTTTGTGGCATGGGTATGGGTCATCTATCCAAAGCTGCGTGACATTCTGAGGAGGGAAGAGAAGAAAACCCATGTGATAAACTGGGGATATTCATATGCAGAGCTTTTTTCATGATATCTTTAATCCTATTACCTGACCTGCTCTTATAAATTCCAATTTTGGACCACATATAATCTCACTGGAGACTGAGCCTTTAACAATACTAGGAAGATAGGTTTTTTACATTTATTTTTTATTTTTTGGTACGGGGGATCAAACTCAGGTCCTTGTGCTTGCGAGGCAGGCAGCTGAACCACTGAGCTAAATCTCCACCCCTTTTTTATTTTTTGGAAACAAGGTCTAGCTCCAGGCTGGCCTTGAACTCATTAGGTAGCCCAGGCAGGCCTCAAACTCACAGTGATCCTCCTGCCTCAGCCTTCTAAGTGCGGGGAGACAGGTGTGCGCCACCACTCCAGGCCTTAGGAAGATAATTTTGAAGACAATAGCAGTATTCTCTGGATCGTAGATGACTCTTCAACCCATGCAGAAAGACAGCTTGATTCATCCTTTTGTTTCCTTTTTTTTGGATACTGGGGGTTGAACCCTGGACTCAAAATTGTGAACCTGCTGCCTCATCATCTGGAGTGTTGTGTTTCTGCACCTCATCTTTAAAGCCTTTTTTATTCATCACCTAATCAACAGAGGTGGTCAACTGGAACCAAAACAAGCTAAGATAGCCACTAAAGGCCTGTGTCACTACAGTGCAACAGGGCAAAACCAGAAGAGTGGACAGAGTTCTTTCCGGAGAAGACCAAACAGGTCTGTACACAGGCACCCCAGTAACACCTGACTGGCAAAGGCACCAGCACCACAAATGCAGAACATATAGAAATGGATGGAGCCCTCCACATGCCTCATCCATACTGCCTCTCCCTCACCCAGAAACCAGCTCTGCGTTTGGGAGGGGAGAGGTGATCAGTGGGTCGCTTTGCATCATGGGACTGTTTGTTTACTTTGGAACTTTTATTTTCACTGGTGAATCAGAGATGCCATAGCCTGTCAGAAAATCCAGAACAGTCTCCTGGAAGACAGGTGGTGGTGGTTCCCTTAACGAGGCATTTACAGGGAAGTTGTGCAAGGCCTGTTAAGTACTTAATCCTGTTGTTTTTCAGAAACCTTTTGCACCTGGGCTCCCAAGATAACTGCAAGGAGAGCCCATGGGCCTGCGGGAGGTGCCCCTGGGAGCAGTCCCTGGTGAAGGGACAGGGGACAGCAATCAGCCGAAGCACTCCATGCTGGCTCTGACTCGCTCCATCTCGTGCAGGAAGCTGTAGAACTGAGGCAAAGTTAATTCTGGGGAAAGAAAATTCGGCTTCAGTTAGGTGTTTCCAACTTCACAAAATCACCCAGGAAAATTCTTTTCCACCCAAAGATTTTTTTTTTCCTTCAGTGCTGGGATGGAACCCAGGGCCTCATGCATGCCAAGCAAGTGCTGTACCACTGAGCTGCACTCTAGCCTGGGTTTTTACCTCTTTTGGCTTAGTGGATCTAAACTGCTCTTGATGGGTAATTGATCAGAATACAACAGCTGAGAGCCTTGGCCATAGAAGGATCTCAGCTTCACAAAAGGGGTGGGTGTGGCATTCAATGGCACATTCATAAAGGGACTGAAAACGGTCAAGCTATATTATACACATGTACCAGTCCCCCCAAAGGACACCACTATTCTGTATTACAAACATGCACTAAAAAACCAAAAAATTAAATAAAATGGCCAAACTCTACAGCACAGGGGATGAAAGGACCTCATTCACCGTGTGACCTCTACAGTAAGAGAGTCTTGCTCCGCAGTCTGCTGAATTCTAGCCATTCCCCTACCATTCCCTTTCCCCAAAATCCTCTTCACCTGTGTGATCTCCAACCTGCTGGTGCCTTAGTAACATTTCTTTACAAGAAAAGGCAGGAAGGCTGGACCGGGAATTTAGCTCAGTGGTACCGCCGCCTGCCTTACAAGCCACAGGCCCCAAGTTCAATCCCCAGTACAAAAAGAAAGCAGAAGAGAGGGGAATGGCTCCTTCACAGCTTGGTGGCGAGCTTTTCTTGTGAGAGGTGGTTTGTCCTGACCACACCAGCCCAACCGACTGAAGAGAACAGAGAAGTGGAAAGGCTCAAATGAAATCCAGACTCACCTATATACACATTTTCAATTTGATTTCCTTTCTTAACCACCAACTTTAACTAATTATTAAAAAAGAGAGAGAGAAAATATTTAAATTAAAATAATGACAACTGGGCAAAGAAATGCTGAAAAACCTGACCACCTAATTTAACCATCCCAGAGCCCCTTGTCTGCTAAACATTTACTCTGCCACCAAGCAACGGTCCTGGGCCCCGTCACCCAGCTTCCAACTTGAGAATCCACAGAAGCAGTCTGGACTGTTGACCACTAAATTCTAACAGTTTCTATGATTATAAGAACATTCAAACCTTTTTTGTTTTATTTTTATAGTACTGAGGATAGGGCTGGGGATTTAGCTCACTGGTTCTGCTGTCTCCCTTGCCAGCATGAGGACCCGAGTTCGATCCCCATTCCCCCTCCCAAAAATATATATATAGTACTGAGGCTAGGCTATGGGCAATCTCTCACTGAGCTACACTGAAACCTTTTTTTATTTTGAGACAGTCTTTCTAAATTGCCCACGTTGGCCTCAAACTTGCTATGTTCTTGCCTCAGCTTCCCAAGCAGCTAGAATTACAGGTGTACACCACTATGCCCGCTAGATTTAAATCCTATTTTGTTTTGGTGCTAGGATATGAACCTAGGGCTTTCTCAGTGAGTGATATCCATAGCCTTTCTATGTTATTGTTATTGTTTTCTTTTAAAATTTTGCTTGATTTTTTAAAAATTAATTTATTTATTTTGGTTTTTTGAGACAGGGTTTCACTATGTAGTTGAGACTGATCTGGAACTCACTATGTAGCCCAGGCTAGTCTCGAACTCACGGCGATCCTCCTGCCTCACTCAGCCTCCTGAGTGCTGGGATTACAGGCATGCACCACCATGCCTGGCTCTTTTTGATTTTTTTTTTTTTTTTGGTATCGGAGATTGAACTCGGGCCCTTGTGCTTTCGAGGCAGGTGGCGGAACCACTGAGTCAAATCTCCAGCCCTGTTTTCTTTTTTATTCTGAGACAGGGTTTTGCTAAATTGCCCAAGCTAAGCTTGAATTTGAGTACTAAGATCGCAGGTATGCATAGCTCCACACTCAGCTCAGATTTAGTATGTTTTTACCAAGTCAAAAAATCACCCCATTATGCGGCCGGGGATTTAGCTCAGTGGTTCTGCCACCTGCCTTGCAAGCACAAGGGCCCGAGTTCAACCTCTGGTACCAAAAAAAAACAAAAAAAAAACAAAAACTCCCCATTTTCAAAGATTAAGAAGAGACTTACTTGTAAAAAAATACTTCCCACTTTCTCCAATTCACTGCTCCCAGATGTTACTGTGACACAAAAGAAAAAAATAATAAGTGACTGGCTGGGGACTTCCCAAGAACAGCAATTCTGCAGGTGGGCCAGCAGACGAAGGGTCATGTATGAGGATGGCAAGTCAACCCTGGGAAGGACCATGGGATGGAGATGGTCAGCATACACAAGGCAGCTGCAGGTTCCACTCCTGTGTGCGACTAACGACACGTCCCCCACTAAGGATCCCCAAAAGACTCTGCAACCCAACCCACATAAGTCACGTGACCTGGGACCATTACCTCCAAACCTCCATTCCATATCGACAAGCTGGTTGATCATCAGGGTCTGACCTACCGCCCACTGAGCAAGGGCAGGGGCGTTCTGCTTCCACTGGAGCAAGAGTAAAGAGCCAAAGTCATAACGGCGTTGGAAAGTCCAACTGCCCGGCCATATGTGGTATTTCTACAGATGGTGGGAAGAGTGCAGCACCGAGGGCTCAGCCTGGACCCACGCACCTGGGGCGAGGGTGGGGACAGAGCAGCAGCAAAACATACAAATGCTTCCTTTCATTCCAAGATTTGCCTATGTTGGAACAAAAACTGTATGACATTTATACTAAATCAAATCAGAGGGAAAAAATTAGAGATGCAAAATATAGTGCTGGTTAAAAGCTATATATCTATATCTACATATATCATTCACATGGAACCAAATGAAATGCATTGGTGGGTTTGCTTTGGTTGTCTTTTCCATTTTTTTTTCTTTTTTGTGAAATAAAAGACAAGGATCTTAACTTTGATTAAAAGGAACTATACCTTTTCAGAAAAGTACGTGGCTTTCTCCTCACTGAGACCTGTAAGGGAACAAGAGGATCAATAACAATGAAAAGCTGCACAGGTGCTCTCCATAGCAGCCCTGGACCATGACCTACCCAGAGTTATGAAATCTGCCCGGACCTGCTCGGCCGTGAGACTCTTCTTCAAGGCACCTGGGAGGAGGGAGAGAAGTCTCAAAAAAGGGCAAATCACTGAATCATTTGGCAATAAGGACTTGACAGGCACAACCTATATGACACAGATGACAGAAGGGACTTGCTCCATGAAGAGCTCAAGCAGGGGAGAAGATGAGCTTCTGAAACTAGGTTTGTTCCTCTGCAACACAGTTATCTATCTCTTAACATGCACAGGAGACACCGGATTCAGTGAGTGGCTACTTGCTGAATATGGTCACTTACATTTCAACTAAAATTTAAAAGTCCAGCCCTCAGTTGTACTAGCTATTTCAAGTGCTCCAACAGCACATTCGACCAGTGACTGCTATACCAGATGGTATAGATTACAGGCCATTTCCATCCACACTGAAGTCTCCTGTGCAGTGCTGTCCCGGGAAATCAGCTTTTATGCAGAACAACAAGATGGGCCAACAGTCTGACCTATACATTCACAGGCCACATACAGAGGTGCTGTCTGTCATGCCTTCCACCTCCAAGTCCTGGGAACATTCCCCCATGGGGACAGCTTTGTTCTCTCTAGGCTCCAATTCCTGAAAACAAAGTTTTACCAGCAGTCTCAACATTTAAACTTGGGGGCCACAGTCCAGAGTCACAATTTGACACCCATGTTAACTTTTTCTCCTTCCAACTTACCAGATGATTAATTAAGGAATAAGAAGTCGTCCATCACTATAAAGGGAGAGCTCTGAAATGAACCTATGTCTAAGTCCCCACCCCCAACCTCTCTCCAGAGAAGAAAACCCTAAAGGCTGTTGTGCCTGTAAACTCAATCCCTTAAACAAAGAGATCTTTTGTCTCCAAAACTGGACTGAGCAAGGAAAGATAGGGAAATTAAAAAGGCAAGACCCCAGGAAGCCTCAGCCACAAAGGCTCTTGAGATGGGAGCTAGCCAACCCAATCAACTCATAATTACATGTGCATATCCAGTTCAGACCCAAGTTTTACATTTATTTAATTTTTCTGTGATGCTGGAGATCCAACCCAAGGCCTCACACGTTCTAATCAAGTGCTCTACTCCAACTCAAGTTCCAAGATTTTGCTAGAAGATCCCAAAATATTGTGAAGTGAAGATTATTATTGGAATCTTTAATGTACCAGGACATGAAGATAAAAAAGATCAAGGTTTTCTAGGAGAAAATCCGGCAAATGCATATATTGCATTGTCAAGAGATTATCCAACAGATATGACCCCCAAAGCATAAGTGTGCTGAGATGTATGTTGGAAACTCTTTAGCAATATAGGGAGCAGGGATAAAAGTCATAAATAATTGGGTGTTGGTTTTGGTGCATTCACAGTACCCCTGTGTATCAATGGGATTTTTTTTTCATGGTTGTGGGGATTTATTTAGCCTAGGGCCTGGCACATGCGAGGCAGGTGTTCTACCACTGAGCTACACATGCGCAGCCCTTTCCACCTTTTATTTTCAGAAGGGTCTCACTAAATTGCTCGGGGCGGGACTATAGGAATGTGTCATGGTACAAAATTTACCAACGTGATTTTATTTTGGTTATTATTATGTTTTAGTTTATTCAGACAGGGTCTTACTAAGCAGTTCAGGCCGGCTCTGAATTCACCATGTAGCCCAAATGGCCTCGAACTCCCAATGATCTTCCTGCCTCAGAATGTGCCACTCTGACAGGCAGCCAATGTGATTTTACACTTGATCTTAGCCAAAAGGCCGAGAAGCGATTCAGCCAATGTGATTTTAAAAGTTAAGTCAGCACTAGGCACACGGCTCAGGGGTACAGTGCTTCCCTAGCATGTGCAATGCCTCAGGTTCCGTTCCAGCACTTAAGCACTGAGGGAAAAACAATGGCGAGGTGTAGTGGTACAGACTGCTTTATGTTACTAAGAGACTGAGGCAGGAGAAGTTTGAAGGCAGCCTGGGCAATTTAGCAATATCTTCTCTCGAAATAAACATATAAAAAGGGTCGGGGATGTAGTTCAAACGCCAGTGTCACTATCACACACAGACAACTTAAACTGTGTCTCTGTGTTCAAAGCCTTCTAGTATGCCTTATTTTGTTCACAGTAACTTCTGAAGGCTTTACAATACCCACGCGGCCTGGACTCCCCACGCCTCCTCCGCTTACTCCGCTGGTCTCATGTTAAGCCGGGGCGGCTCCTACCGCAGAGCATTGGCCCTTGCAGTTCTCGCTGCTGGGAACACACTTCCTCGAATCCACACACAGCTCATCCCCTCGCTTCACTCAGGCCTCCAGCTGAATCTCCATTCATCAGTACAGATACCTGACCATCTGCTTACAGTGGCACAGCCTCTCATTCATATCCTCATACTGCCGTGTCCTTCCACACTGTATTTACAACCACCTGACTCTGCCATACAGCTGTCATCACTTTCAGTACGAGGACGTCAGTTCAGTGAGAACAAGGACTTGGCACTGGATATGGTGGCACATGCCTGTAATCCCAGCTCCTCCGGCAGGTTTGGGCCAGCTCAGGCAATTTAGGAAGACCCTGTCTTAAAAGAATTAAAAAGGGCTGGGGACGTAGCCTGGTATAAAGGTCTTGGATTCAGCACCTAGTACCATTAAAAAAAGATTTGGCTCATTTTGTTATGTCCCAAGCTCCTAGAAAAATGCCCAGCACTACTTATTGATTGGGATAAAATGAAAACATGTGGAACGAAGAAATCCATGCAACAAAATACTATGCATCCTTTAAGAAGAATAAAGTAAATGGAAACAAAGTCTTAGTAAATAGAGAAGGGTGGAAGGAGTGATGGGAGGGCAGGGGTATGGGAAAAAATGAGAACCAAGATCTGTCATGGAAAGGTACAAGATCCCAACGACGAATGCAACTGTTCTGTATACTTAAAAACTACCAATAAACTCAATAAGATTAAAAAAAAAAAAGAAGAAGAATGAGGTAGCTCTCGATGAGCCACTTTGCAAAATACAATCATCCATTAGTATCTAGGTTTTAGGACTCCAAAACCCATGAATGCTCAAGTCCATTCCATAACACGTTACAGATTCCACACGTAACCTGTGCACATCCTCCTGTGCTTTACATCATTTCTAGATAGGGCCGGAGATTTAGCTCAGTGGACCCTGCCTGCCTCAAAAGTGCAAGGTCCTGAGTTCAATCCCTGGTAGAAAAAAAAAATTAAATCAGAGGCCAGGGATTTAGCTCAATGGTTCCACTGCCTGCCTCACAAGCACAAGGTTCCGAGTTCAATCCCTGATACCAAAAACAATTAAATCATCTCTAAATGACTTAGAATACCTAATACAAAATAAATCTCATAGGCCTTACTGTGCATGCTGGTTTTTGTTTATTTCATTTTGTTTTCAGACATGATTTTACTATTTTGGCCAGGCTGATCTTAAATTTTCAATCCTGCTGCCTGAGTGTCCTTTGTGCTGGGATTATACGCATGAGCCACCACTCTTTTTTTTTTTTTCTTTTTTCTGTGTTGCTGGGATGGAAGCCAGGGCCTCATACATCTCAAACATGGTAGTCAACTGCTCTGCGACTCACTGAGTTATACCCCCAGCCAACTTGTATTTTCTTCCTTCTGTCCTTCTAACTGTGCTTGCTTCAGCAGCACATATAGTAAAGTTGTTTAACCTGGGAGGAGGCAGGAGGATCAGTTAAGTCATGTGTTCAAGGTGAGCCTGGACAACATAGTGACAGCCTATCTCAAAAAAAAAAAAAAGTAGCCAGGTGTGGTAGCACACACCTGTTATCCCAGTGCTAGGGAGGCTGAGGAAAGAGGATCAATTGTGAGTTTGAGGCCAACCTGAGCTATGTAGTGAGATCCTATCTCCAAAAAAACAAAAACAAAAAGGAAAAGAAAGAGTAGTTACCATTAAAAATATATTTGCTTTGTTGGGCGTGGTGGTGCACGCCTGCAATTCCAGCACTCAGGAGGCCGAGGCAGGAGGATCGCTGTGAGTTCGAGACCAGCCTGGGCTACATATTGAGTTCCAGGTCAGTCTCAACTACATAGTGAGACCCTGCCTCAAAAAACCAAAAAACAAAACAAAAAATATTTGCTTCATACTAGACCTTGAATGTTTTGTTGCTTTTGTGTATTTTAAGATAGGATCTCACTATGTAATTCAGGCTGTCCTTGAACTCAGGATTCTCCTGTCTCAGCCACTGCACTGCTAGGATTAACACATTCATGATGGGGCCATAATTCTGTCTTGCTGCCAGGCAATTTGAATCACCAGTGGTACACGCACGACTGTCCCACTTCTACCATCAGTAATACAAGCTGCCCGATGGGATAGTCACGCACGTACAATCCATGGTTCAAAACAGTGCCATCGTGCCTGGCTTAGGCCTCAAGTCCTTAACTCCTTTCTCAGCTTTTTTCTTGGTGATTCTTTTAGTCTAAGCAAAGATCAGTCACAAGACAGCCATGCTGTCTTCATCCTGTGTAAGGGAATCTTGGTGAAAACTCCTGGAGGAGGAGACAGGAGACTGGAGGGGAGGGTGACGCCATTCATCCAGCTGTCACTGTCCCCGAAACCAAGTGTGCCAGTGAGTCCACGTGGAAGAGAGGTCACAGTGGGAGATCACTGTGGGAGCCTGAGGCAGGAAGATTGTGAATTCAAGCCCAGCCTGAGCAGTTCAGCAAGACCCTGCCTCAAAATATAAAAAAAGGGAAGGGTTGTAACTCAGTGTGAAGGTGCTGGGTCAATCCCTAACACTGAGGAAAAAAAAAAATCACAGTCCTCTTGCCTCAGCTTCCCAACGAGCTGTGATTACAGGCATGTACCACTAGGCCTGGTTCATGAGTATGACTGGGACGCCTGTGTTTAGAGACAGTGCCAGGAACTGAGGACAAAGAAGATCTATCTACTATCCTCAGTAAACTGACTGAAGAAACTAGATCCCGAAGATCCAAGATGGTGAATCGGTATGTGCATAATTCAAGTGGAGATAAAAACAAAAAGCTGTAGGCTGATAGGACAACCAGATTAAACTTCAAAAAAGGGCTATCTTGAAGATAAGTATTAAATTTTAGCTTTAGAGGAACTAAGGTGACCTTGATGGGCAGAGAAGGAATCTCACTCAGCCAGTGAAATTCCTTCAACACAAATTTACTGACTTAGTCAGAGACCAAGCACATGCCAGCCTGGACTCTCAATATTCTGCGGGGCTGAGGCAGGAGGACCATCCATTCAATTCCAGCCTGGGTAATTCAGCAAGACCTTGTTTCAAAACAAAAAATTAAAAAGGTCATGGTTGGGGCCAGGCATTTAGCTCATAATTCAGGTTCCGCCGCCTGCCTCACAAGTGCAAGGTCCCAAGTTCAATCCCCAGTACCAAAAAAAAAAAAAGGACATGACTCAATGTGAAGGCACTGGGTTCAACCCCCAGTATGGGGCAAAATAAATGACCGAAAAGCAAAAGACCTTCATAGTAATATAACAAGTAAATTCCACAGGGCTGGGGATGTAGCTCAGTGGCACCACACCTGCCTCACAGGAGCAAGGTCCTGAGTTCAATTCTCAGTACCAAAGAGGGGGCAGGGGGAAGAAACACATAAGTCATATAGAGTATAAGGTGAAAAGTGCTGGAGAAAAAACAATAGAGCAGGGTCAGGTTAGCAATACTGTGAGACTTAGCTCAATGAATCTGATACTCCCATGCCTTATATGCTGAATATTTTCCTTCCAGATATAACAGCACGGTGGTGGTTAACTCCAGGAAGATGAGATGAAAAGATATGTCTGACATTTACTTTAATCCACTTTGGGGTTCTAGAGACAGAGGGAGGGGAGGAGAGACGGGAAGGAAAGAGAATTAAGATGTGTTATGTGTACCAGATCCCTGTGATGAATGTAATCTTTATGTACAACAAAGATGTACTAATAAAAATAAAATAAAATAATCCAGTTTGGAAAGCAGTAAGAAGGGGTGGATGTAGACTAAATGATAGGATCTGACCACTGGTTGATACATGTTGAGAGGAGTATCTTTTTTGAGGGGTATTTTTTTTTAAGAGTAGGAAAAATTTATTGAGGGAAAGAAAGATTCTGTCGAAGAGAGACAGAAGGGGGACCAGAAAGTGGGTTGCCTGCTCATCCTAATTTTCAAAGATATTTTATACAGCAAAGCAATGTGGTAAGGTGAGTACAAAATGGGAAGCTACAAGGTGGACATGAGGTGGGGCAAAACCATGACCAACCAGTAAGATTACAAGTACAGTCACCCAGGTAATATTGATTAAATGGGGTCAAATGGGGAACAAGACACACAGCAAGCTCATACAAGGATTTTCAGTAAGAGTAGGGGTCAGGGATATTTCCTGGAAAGGCTGGGTTACCACCTTGGCCCCCAACCCAGGTGATTGAAACCTATTTAGAATATTGATCACTGCTATTCATCCCCAGGGGAAGCACAAGGGTATAGTCCTTTCTCTCCTTTTACAATTCTGGCCTTCAGTGGATGTGGCTTGATTGTCCTCCCTGTTGGCTTCTTGCTGTGTTGGCTCCTTGAGGACAGCCCTGTCTAACCTCCTACAGAGATCTAATTAACTTACCTATCTGCAATATTCCCCATCTGAAGAAGTACCCCAGCCACTGTGAGGGGGGAAAGGGGGCAGACAGCTCTGCCTGCTTCCAGCTGAAGAGGGGCATAGCTGTGATCAGCAGTTACAGTTACTCTACAGAGCGTCTGTCTAAAGGCCTTTGGTAGGTGCCTGGCATTGTCATCTTAGTAGCTGTGTAGCTTTTAAGTCTGGAGGAGACAAAGCCAAAGAAACAGTTAAGAATGCATGGGCCAAATTATAAGGTCACAGCATTGCTGTGAATATAGTTCACAAAGAGGATAAGGAGGTCAGAATCCAACACAGAAGTCATTTCGTACAGTCTAGCAGTTATGAGCTGTTTACAAGGTCAATCTGGTGGGTCCCAGGAAAAGAAATCTAGCACATTTGTCATTAGTTCCATTTGTACGACTGCTTGGAGTTTGGCAGCCTCATTCTGGAAGCTTTGTCTTTAAATCCAACAGCCACAGAGGGGGGAAATGCCTTGAACCAAATACTCCGACCAATAATCTTGGTGGAAGACCTCCAAAATGATATAAGGAGAAGAGATGTAACTCCCAAACATTCTAGATATCCAAAATGTGAGTTTGTGTTCTCTAAAATCGAAGAATGAATTCTAGGAACAACGGAGGTTAAGAGTAGGAAAAATTAATTGAGGAAAAGAAAGCTTCTGTCTAACAGAGACAGAAGGGGGACCGGAAAGTGGGTTGCCCCTTGGGGGGCGGTATTTCTGAGACAGGGTCTTACTGTGTAGTTCAGGCTGGCCTTGAATTCACTACATAGCCCGGTAATCCCAGCACTGGGGAGGCTGATGCAGGAGAGTCATTTTGAGTTTGAGGCTGTGAATTCAAGGCCAGCTTGAACTACACAGTGAGACCCTGTCTTAAAAAACAAAGCAAAACACAATAAGGCAAACAAACAAAAAGAAATGGAGAATACAAGCCAGAAGACCCTGCAGAAAAGGAAAGTAAAAGAAACAGAAATTATTGAGAGCTAACTGAGAAGTACAGCAAACCAAACCAGAGATCTTAATTTGAGAATCTGCAAAGCTTCCCAACATTAACTAGTCAGAAGTGATTTAGATCCTCACATTAAGTGAAGGAAAGTTTTATCTCATAATGTGATACTGAAACATAGTCCTAAAAGCTACCTGATCTACCAATACATAAAGAGCACCTGCTTAGCAAGCACAAGGTCTTAACTTAGATCCTTAGCCAGACACATAAAACCCTCCTTGACTCTCGCCTTCTGTTTTTCCCGTGGTGCTGAGGATGGAGGCCAGGATCTCATACATACTCTGCACGAGCTCTACCGCTGAGTGAACCCCCAGCCTGGGATTGTCACTTGACTCTCTAGAACCCTGCACTGCATTGAAAGTGTGTGATGTGGCTGGGCACAGGGGCATACACCTAGAGGCCCAGCTCCTCTGTAGGGTGAGGTGGGAGGATCACACATCTTTTGTTGGTTTTTGTTTTTTTTTTTTCTAGTATCAAGGATCAAACTCAAGACCTTGTGGATCACAAGTTTGAGCCTGGCCTGGGCAACTTAGGGAGACTCCCTTTTCAAAATTAAAAAAAAAAAAGGCCGAGGATGTAGCTCAGCACTCCCTAGGTTCAATCTCGGGAAGGGGGTGGTGTGTAAATGATTAATTACCCTCCATTTCCATCTCTTATGTGGAAGACACAAGAATAATCTGGGGATTGAGTCCAGGATGTAGACGGAGTGCTGCAGCGTGCTGTTTTGCACAGCACTCCTGTTGCATTAGACAGTTCTCCCTTGGCTTCCTGTGAGGACTGTCCAGGACCACCTACGATACCAAAATGCAGATGCAACATGCAAAATGTGTTTGCATACAACCCCCACACAGCTCCTGTTTGCTTTAAACCACCTCTAGATGATTTATAATACCCAATACACTGTAAATACTGCATAGACAGACAGTAGTTACACTGTACTGTGTAGGGAATACAAGGGAAAAAAATGTCTTCAGATACTTTCAGCCTTGGCTGGTTGGATCCACGGCTTTGGAGGCCCAAGGACATTACAATTCCCTACTGGCCAGGCCTCCCTCCCCGGTCTGGCTCATGACTGACACTCTGAGGCAGTGCCCAAGGTACACTTGGAATGACTACCCGGAATTAAGGAATGCTCAGGTAACAGCTCCTCCCACAGCTGCTCAGAAGGCTACTCACCATTTGGAATCAGAAGGAGGCTTTTCACAATGCTTCTGAGGGGGCCAAGACTGATCTGATTAGCGGTGGCAAATTCAGAGAGCTGAGCCACAAACCTTTCCACCTGTAGAGGGAATAGCAAACAGCAGGCCTTCACTGTCTGAGCTCCTTGGGTGCACAGGCCAATGCTTGGGGTCTCTCTTTATCACAGAATACTTTACCTCCTTGGGCTCTGTTAGGAACTGGAAAAGTACTTCTGTCAGGGCTGAGAACTGCTGTAAAGAGAACAGCACAGAACATTAGTAGTACAATCCCTACTCTAGGGCCAGTGTACCAGGCTCCTCCCATCACAGATCTTTTGAGAGAAAGTAAGAACAGGTGCTGATACTGCTTCTGCTGCTGCTTCCTCTTTGGTTTTTCTTTCTTGGTACTAGGGAATGAACTCAGGGCCTTCACACTGAGCTACACTTTCAGTCCTTTCTCCATTTTTAACTTTTATTTTTTTATTTTTTGGTACTGGGGATCAAACTTGTGACCTTATGCTTTGAGGCAGGTGGCAGGACCACTGAGCTAAATCCCCAGCCTGCTCTTCATTATTTTTGAAACAGGGTCTAACTTGCTAAGTTGCCCAGGCTGGGCTCAAAACTTGTGAGACTTAGCCAGGCGTGGTGGCACATGCCTGTGATCCCAGTACTTGGGAGGCTGAGGCAGGAGGATTGCCACAAGTTCAAAGCCAGCGTGGTCTACATAGTGAGTTCAGGGCCAGACTGAAATATAAAGCAAGACCCTGTCTAAAAAAAACAAAACAAGGGCCAGGGATTTAGCTCAGTGGTTCCACCGGCTGCCACGAAAGTGCAAGGACCCGAGTTTGATCCCCAGTACCAACCAAACCAAACCCCCAACAACTTATGATCCTCTTGCCTCAGTTCACCTGCTGTTTTTTTGTTTTTTGTTTTTGCTGGGGGGACAGGGTCTTGCTATGTAGTACAGGCTGGCTTTCAACTTGCTATGTATCTCAAACCAGCCTGAAATTCATGATTTCCTACTTCAGCCTCTTGAGTGCTGGGATTATGGGTGTGTTTCATCATACCATGCTTTTTATACCTATTCTTTTTTTTTGGTACCAGGGATCAAACTCAAGTCCTTGTGCTTGCAAGGCACGCGGCAGAACCACTGAGCTAAATCCCCAGCCCCTGATACCTATTCTGATCACCAAAGTTATAAATGTTCATACTACCATATCAGTGTCAATACATTCACATCAATATACTGCCTGAAAAGCACAAATATTTTATTGGGATACTTAGAAGACATCAACGGATCATGTGTGTAGGTGGACATACATGTCTAGGGTCCAAATTCACACAGAGAAAGATCTGAAAGGAGAAATCACCAAAACACTGAAAGCAATTACAGGGCTGGGGTTTGACCCAGCAGTGGAGCACTTCACAGCAGGCCCTAGGCCCTGGGTTCAATTCCCCAGGGCTGCCACAAAACAGACAAAAACAAACAAAACCCATCCCAAACCAGTTACTTCTGTATGGCAAGACACTGGGCGATTTTAATTGTCAACATTTCATTGTAACACACTCACTGTCTGTCTAGGAATATCTCGTTTTGTGCACATTAATCTTTTTAGTAGTGCTGTTTTGTTAGGGATTGAGGATTTGGGCCTCCCAGAAATTCCTCTGTTGAAGTTCTCCCTCCCAAAGTGCTTGGACTTAAAGGCAGCCGCTGAGGTGATAAAGGTCACAAGACTAGGACTCTAACTCCACAGGGCTGGTGCCCTTATCAGAAGATGAAAAATAGCCAGGGCATGGAGGTGCACACCTGCAATCCCAGCATCTGGGGGGGCTGAGGCAGGAGGATCACTGTGAGTTCGAGACCAGCCTGAGCTACACAGTGAGTTCCAGGTCAGTCTCAACTACACAGTGAGACCCTGTCTCAAAAAAAGAAGATGAAAAGGTTAGGCAGGAGGATCTCAAGTTCCAGCCCAGCCTGGTCAATTTACCAACTTAATGAGACTCTGTCTAAATAAATAAATAAATAGGGTTGAGGAGTTAGTTCAGTGCAAAGGCCCTGGGCTCAGTCCCCAGGAACACCCCCTCCAACACACAAAAGCAATATATTAACTAAAGGTAGAATACGAAAAGCTTTTAGCACAAATGATGGCAATTAGCGTAGCCTTAATTATAGTCACTAACCCATTTGATCCACTTTCCAAGAACCACATAACATTAAAAAAAAAGCAGCCAGGCTTGGTGGCACATGCTTATAATCCCAGCATTCTGGGGGCTGAGGCAGGAGGATCTGAGACAGGAGGATCACGGGGAGTTCAAGGCCAGCCTGGGCTACATATGAGTTCAGGGTCAGGCTGAACTACAAAGGGAGACCCTGTCTCCAAAAACAAAAAACAAAAAAACAAAAACAAACAGCTAGGCATGGTGGTACATGCATGTAACCTCAGCACTCGGGAGGCTGAGGCAGGAGGATCACCATCAGTTCAAGGCTAGTCTGAACTACATAGTGAAACCCAATCTTTTTTTTTTTTTTTTGGTACCGGGGATCAAACTTAGGACCTTGCCCTTCAGACGCAGGCGGGCGGCACCACTGAGCTAAATCCCTGGCCTGTGAAACCCAATCTTAAAAAACTGAATGAATGAATGATTGTAAGACCTATTCAGCTGAAAGTCCTTAAAGTTGCATGTGTAGTATGACTGTCAAAGGTATCTGCCCCTTCTGCTTTGATATACTGAACTCGACATATACAGTACCTGCTGAGTGCTACATTATTTACGAACTTCTAGCTAGGCTAAGTGGTGCACACCTGGAATTCCAGCACTTGGGAGGCTGAAGCAAGGAGGACTGGGCTACATAGCAAGATGCTGTCTGAAAATATCAATAAAAAGCATTCCATCTTAAAATATAAAACTATCCTGTGCACGCATGTGTGTGTGCACACACACACACACACACACACACAGAAAAAAGAAAAACTAAGTGGCCAGAGGTATAGCTCAGCATATAGCACTTGCCTAGAATACTCAAGACCTTGAATTTGGTCCTCAGTACCACAAGTAAAAGCCAATTAAAAATACAAAATTAGGGCAGAAAAACTTGAAAGTAATACATGTACAAAGGTTTGAAAAGACCCAATTAATACAAAGTAATATAAACTAAAACCTCTCTCCTAAGCCGCCCTCCGAAGTCCACTTGCCTCAAGTGGTTAATGCTAACATATGCTCTTAAAAAACAAAACAAAAAAGGATGAGCCCAGCCTAGAAATTTGGTGACTTAGTGAGAGCCTGTCTCAAAATTTTAAAAAATATCATGCGTTTGTAATGCAGCATCCACTTTGTAAATAAAAATATGCACAAACACACACATGTACACACACACACACACACACACAATTTAAAAAAAAATAACAATGTAAAAAAGATGATGATGCATGCCTACAATCCAGCACTCAGGAGATTGAGGCAAGAGGATTACTTTGAGTTTGAGGCCAGCCTGAGCTATACATTGTGAGCTCAAGGCCAGCTTGAGTTACATAGCAAGACTCTGTTTCAAAAAATAAAAAACAAGGGGGCCAGGGATTTAGCTCAGTGGTTCCGCTGTCTGACTCACAAGTGCAAGGTCCTGAGTTTGATCCCTGGTACCAAAAAATATATATAAATAAATAAAAACAAGGGTCAGAGATTTAGCTCAGTGGCACCACACCTGCCTTACAAGAGCAAGGTCCTGAGTTTGATCCCTGGTATCCAAAAAAGAATCTGGGTTCAATCCCTATACTGTACCCCAAAAAAAAGTATCCTAGGTCAAAGAATATATAAATTTTTAAAATTTATTTATTTATTTGGTTGGTTGGAGTTTTGAGAAAGGGTCTTGCTTTGTAGTTCAGGATAGTCTTGAACTTACAATGTAGTCCAAACTGGCCTTGAATTTACAGTGATCCTCTTGTCTCAGCCTCCTGAGTGCTGGGATTATAGGTATGCACTACTATACCTGGCCAATATATACATTTTAAATTCTAAGGAAATGTTATCTGGAAACTTTTTTAACCAATGTCGATCCAGGGATCATCTTTCTATACCATTTAAGACATTGAGTATTAGCATTATATAACTGCTAACTCTATGTCGTGAAAACCAGAACACCAATGCCTGTGGTGGTGGGCACCTATAATCAATCCCAGCACTCAGGAGGCTGAAGAAGTAGGATCTTTGAGTTTGAACCTTGCCTGGTATATGAAGCAAGTTCCAGATCAGCCTGGATAACATAGTGAGACCCTGTCTCAAAAATAAACAAAAAACATGTGCAGTCAAGAACTGGTAAAAAATTGTCCCCAATCTATATTTTTTCCTTTATTTCTTTAATGTTTTCCCCTGCAAATCTGCGTAACTGTCAGCTCTGACTGTATTTCCTGTGCTACTCAGGGCCTTCTAAAAAATGGGGCTGTTCATTACTGACCATCCACATTTCCATTTGTAGGCCTCAGCCTAGTATTGGACTCCACTTTAACCTTGTCAGGTCCCATCCCCCGTTTCCCTCTTCTCCAGTGGAACTTCAACTAATCTGGTCTTGGGCTGTTACTGACCCCTACCCCTATCTCCACTTTCCCAAACCATCCTTATCCCTCAAAACCCTGCTGCCTAGACATCAGACCCTCCCAACAAGAAAGGGACCCTACCTCAAGGAAACAACAGGGTGGGAGACCACCTAAAGAATTGGATAAGATATCTGTAAACAATGTATCAGATAAGGGGTTAATATCTCCATAAAAGGAGAAAACCCAATTTTAAATATTGGCAAGAGACTTGAATGGATATTTGTCTTTTCCTTTCTTTTTTTTTTTAAATGTTTCAGACAAGGTCTCCCTATATAGTCCAGGCTGGCCTGGAACTTGTAATCCTCCTGTGTTAGTCTCCTAAGGGTTGGGGTTACAGGTGTGCACCACCATACCTAGCATGACGTTTTCCTTTTTCTTTGTTTCTTTCTTTCTTTTTTGAGACAGGGTCTCACTATGTAGTCAAGACTGACCTGGACCTCACTATGTAGCCCAGGCTGGTCTTGAACTCAGTGTTCCTCCTGCCTCAGACTCCCGAGTGCAGGGATTACAGGTGTGTGCCACCACGTCTGCCTTAGTTTCTTATTTTGGCAGTACCAGGAATTGAACCTGGGACCTCATACGTGCTAGGCAAGCACTGTACCACTGAACTACATCCCAGCCCATTAACATTTTTCAAAAGAATACATACAAATGGCCAACAGG